CCCCTTTTTTTCCTCCTGAATTTGCACGCTTCGATTTGTCGCTTTGATCATTCTCGAAAGAAAACAATGAGGGTCAACCTCCCTGAATAGGACTAAGGTTCTTCTCTAAGGGAGCCGCCCCCCCAACTCCGTAAATCGGAATAGGTACAGATAGACCTTGGGAATGACGCGTACTCATGACCGGCCGGAATAAGACTAGCCATGGGCCAATAGTAGCATAATTCCTTGTTCTCTTTCCTTTTTTTCCCCCACCTTTTTTTCCCCCTTCCCCTTTCCCCTTTTTTTCTTTTTTCCTTTTTTCTTTTTGCGCTTATGACTATAGGATTGCTGTGATAAACGGAGGGATGCGTGAAAAGGCTTTCGCCGGAAGTTCACGATCCCCGATGGAGAACGGACTATATTAGGACTTGGGGCTGGCGGTACTGTTCATCGGTTCACCGTGCAATAATCGGTTCTGACAGGTGGTAAGGCACGGTGCGTTCCGGTTCTGCGGGTGCGTGGTGTGGCGACGTGCGGCATGGACTTCTTCGTCGACTGGACCAGGTGGAAGAGCAACCGGAGGCGGAAGAAGTGGTAACGATCTGGGCGTGAGGCTTCCTCGTCATTTTTCTGCCGCCCTCGCCTCACCTCGACTCTGCGCCATGCAAACCGATGCGATAAGCCACGTCGGGCCTACCATGCTCCCCCCAGGCTCGATCACGACAATGCTGAGCACCTGCTTGGCCCTGTTGCTTCTCCTCGCCTTGCTCCCTAACATCGCCATAGCATGCCTGCTTTCTACAGCCTGCCTCTCCGAGAGGGTCTTTTTATGCGCTTCCCCTAGGTGCTTTGCGCTGCTGATTGCATGCACCATCGGCTTCATTTCCTTGTTCCTGACTTGTTGCTGCTGCCTATTTTTTACGATTGGTGTCACTCGCAGGTTGCACATACTGATTGAGTAGCGCATGGCGTGGACGATGGAGTCGAAGATCACGACGGGGACGCCTCCTCACACTGTTTTAGCTTTTTTATCCTTCCTATCCTTGCTCTCTTTTCTTTTCTTCATATACTCCTTCCCTTCTCCCCCACCACTTGAATTATGTCCCTTCCTCCCCCCCTCCCCGACTTTCTCCTCCACCCCCATAACCACCTCCCCCACCCCCTCGCCACGCCTCCCCTCGCACCACCACGCCCCCTCCACCTTCCAAAGACCATAGAATATGTGCCCCCTCTGATGACGCCCCAAATGGCATGGGGTAGAAAAGCGCTTCAGGGATTTGCCATGCCCTTCCTACGATTCGGCGAGATGGTCCGTGTGGAGACAGGAGCACGTGGGGCCTGGAGGATAGAGCTGAAGCAGGATGTTCCTTTCCCTGCCTTCCCCCTTCTCCGTATCTCTCCCAGAGTTCCTTCCCCCTCTATCCCCTTTTTCTCACCCTCTTCCCCGTGCTAGTCGGAGGTTATCTAGTTAGTTCCTGACAATGAGGAATACTTTGTGATGATAAGTTTGGTGCTCTACTGAGTTTTTTTGGAAAATCGTATGGGTTGTTTCCTCTCTCGTTCTTCAGTAATTCTCTTTCCTTTCTTCCTCCTTTTCCTCTTTTTTTCGTTTTCTTTTTCTTTCTATGTCTCGCTTCTCCTTCTTTCTCACTTTTTTTTTTTTTTTTTTTTTTTTTTTTTTTTTTTTTTTTTTTTTTTTTTTTTTTTTTCTTCCCTTTTTTAATGAATGATTCTAATGTGTGTATGAAAAGGCCCGTAAAAGGCATGTCGGACCCATAAGCTCACCGGGTATATAGGGGGTTGTGCTTAGCCTTTACTCTTTTCCTGTTCCCCTTTCCTTTTTTCTTCTCTTCTTCTTCCGACCTTTTTTTCCCCTCTGAACTTTCTTCATCTCCCCACCTTTTTACTGCCCTTCTCCCCCTTTGTCTTCTCCTCCTCCTCCTCCCCCCCGTTCTTCTTCCTCGTTGTCTCCCTCTTCTTCTCTCTCGCTCTCTCTCTCTCCTTCCCGCTTATGAAAAAGGGGGGGTGATGTCAGATTGATTAAATAAATACTTTGTAGGTATATATGCGAGCATGACTTGGCATCTCGAATGGAATGACTCGAATGTGAATGTGTTGAATGTAATTATTCCTCGAGAAGGCAGTCTCTCGCCCTCCTTCTTTTTTCGTCTTGCGCTACCCTTGCATGCCCATTTACTTTCGACAAAACGGCTTGTCTCGCCCTCGCCACAAATTGACACACGATTGGGCCTTACCTTGCCGCGTTTGAAAATCACCCCCGCGCCTTGCTCCTTGCCTGTGGTGTGCCGACATGGTTGGAGCTGCACGAGTATGACGTGTCATACTCGTGCATAACTCATGTTACACACACATGCTACACACTGAGGAGGACGAGTTCCTCAAGCGTTGTTGGGGGGTGCCTCCCCTAACCGCACTGCAAAGCCTATCTTGGACATGGGTGGTAGTTGTTGCCATAGGGTACGCCTGCGCTCGTCTGAACGATTGGGAGGGTGATAGCTGCGATCTGCCGAAGTAAGCGATGCGGAATCAAAAGTGTAATATGACGAAGGTAAAAAGGTTTTGCTGAACATGCCTCCCTTTGTTGCCAGCCCCTGTAATCCCTTTTGGCTTAGCTTTGCTCACCCCTTATCCTGTTTGTCTCTTTCCTCTTCCTCCTCCCTTCGCAATGACCTTCTCTCCCTTCCGAATCCTCTTGGCCCTTCTCCTCGTCACCATTCTTTCCTTCTTTTTGCGATATCCTCGTCCCCCTGCTTGATTGTGCCTCCTCCCTTCCCCCTTAACCCGCCTCAACATTCTTCTTTTACTTTTGTTTTTTTGCTCTGTTCTGGTCCATCCCGTACAATTATTTTGGATAACTGTCCTATTTCGCTGTTGTGCTTTGCGGTTCTTCCTTCACGCTTGCACAGCCGCCCCCCAAGGAGGCGTTCCCGGGAGGTTGGTGGAACGAGATCATGCACCGCCTTCCATGGTTGAAGGAATGCGCTTCCCCTGCGAAACCTACGCAGGCACTACTCACCTTCGTCAACCCCGGGGCCATTGATGCTATCAAGGCGAAATGGGATTCCGGTCGCTTTCCCCACTTTTTTGAAATGTTGGGCTTTAGCGACCTTGCCGTCCTTGCGGGTGCTTGAGACCTGGGACGGCGCGAGTTCGATGATGAACTAGAGGTTCTTTGCGAAAAGCTCGAACTATGGAAGGGTGAATACGTTAGGGAATGGAGGGAGCTCGCGAGTAAATCGACGAAGGTCGAACAGATCTTTCTCAAGATCTGGGGTATGGATGACTCCCACCTGGAAGGGCGGGTACCCGAAACCAGGATGGGTGGTCCCGATGACGCCCAGGACAACCGCACGGCGCTATGTGATGACCTTGCAATCGAGGAAGAGGAGAGAAATGAGATGGAGCGCGTCATCGCGGCGATAAAAGCCACCACCCAAGATTCTCCACCCGCCTCCAGCAAGAAAGGCGGTAAGGCTTCGGAGCGTGACCAATATACAGCGTTTGTGCCCCTTGCATCCACATACTGGGTCGAGCACACCTCCACGGCCTTTAGACACGCGATCTGGAAGATGGACACCTTCAACCATATCGCACCGATCTCTGTCTGAGCACTTCAGTTCTTAGGTAACGTCATGGACGAGCAGGTTAGACAGTGTAGGACATTTATTTTGAAAGGAAAACTGAAGTATTGCGGTAGGGTCAGCCCTCTGGATCCCCAGGATCTGAAATTTTCTCCCATGCGTGAGCTCGATCCCGATAAACGTGGGGATACAAATTCTAGCATGTGGCAGAAGGGCATTAGGCAGGAGGGGAAGCATGATCTCAGGACCCTGAGGAAGGTATGGAGTGTGGGAAGACCATATCTGAAGTGCAAGTGCAAGAAGGATAAGAACAAGGACTGCGGGGATACCCCCCTGTGGTTTGATCACGTTATATGGTACCTATTAGCGCACCAGGACATCCTCTTTCCCAACATGTCCTCAATCAAGATTCGGACGTCAATGCTCATACACTATCTTAGGACGACATGGAGGGATGTGGTGCTAGCAGCCATTAGTTTCAATTTCCTTAGGGACTTGACGATGGGATACGCCAAGGAGCTCGAAGGAGATCTAACCCTGAACGCAGAAGGCGTTCTGAAAGAGGAACACCTCTGGAGCTACCTGATCCCGACGGCACTTGCGCGCATCATGCTCTCCGCTCGGATTCCCGAAAGGCCAACCAGGGTCCCACTCAGCTCTCCGCGCTCCGCATTACGGAAGAGAAGCGGGGGGGCACAGGGTCCGCACCAAACCACGCTCAATTTTCAGAGAGCCCGGCCTGCCGACGACGCCCCTCCACCTCCTCCCCCTCCACCTCCCCCGCCCCACCCTACCCAACAGCAGCCCGCCGGGCCCGCCAACCAGACAGCGCAAGCAGGGAAGGTTCTACAACATGGCAACACCATCTTCAATGCACCCCCGACCGGGGTTCGACAATCAACCCCACCTCCGGCCGCCTGGTTGCCGGTTCTCACCCCCTTCCATCCAGCAACCTCTCATGATTATTAGGGGGCTTACTCCTCCACCTGTCATTCACATTTCGCCAGAAAACTTCGCGCAATCTACACTCACCAAGAGTGGTAAGGGCAGGAAGAAGAAGAACCCAGGAGGCGCAACGAGGGGTGGGGCTTCCGCCTCCAGACGACCCACGAGGGCTTAAATGCGCACAACCGCCTAATTTTTGTACCAGCCTCGTTTGCGGCTTCCTCTTATTTCTCCCCTTATTATCCTTCGCTAATTTTAAGGTGTATGACAAAAGCAACTCGTGAAAAATTTATGGCGTTTAGCCCTCCCAAGATGCCTCAAAACTTGTCGTCTGTACAAATTCCACTGGCTTGGATCACATTATGCATCTGCGTGATGTGACCCCCCCCCCCCCTCTCTCTCTGTTCCCCCCTTTTTTTGCCTCTGCAGCCGTGGCATGCTCTACCCCCTCGACACACTCCATGTCTTGTATCTAGCACGGTGTGCTTCCGAGCACAGGATCCGAACGGATGGGTCAATGCCCCGGGGCAAATGATCACACTACCGAACGGCGGGAAAGCATGGAGGAGGCAGAAGCCAGAGTGTGACGCCTTCCTGCACCTAAAGTACACTAGCCGTGTGATGGAGCCGATATCCATTGGAAAACTTATAAACAGGGTGCTCAACAGGGTAGTTGGAGATGACACGGCGACTTGGCTGAAACGCGCAAAGATTGGGTGGACCTGTAATCACAGCATAGCCTCCAAACTATGCTGACCTGCGGAGACATTCTGTGACTTCAGCGTGTCACACTGGATGGAGGGTTACGATCCGTAGTGCCCATGCAGGGCACAAAGGTACTTGGACATGCGCWAGAACTGGTCGATCRAATTACTCCACAACGAGGGYTGCACYCACGTCATCACTTTGGACTCTTCARTCAYGGATAGCCCACTGTTGCAGAACATCATCAATGCAGGCCTCAATCATCTCCCGTGCATGGCGCTGGATGTGGATGAAGCAATTCCTGAGCAGGGGAAATTTTTGGACGAGCTTTTTGCACGGATTATGGAGCTACGCGACCTCACAGATTCCACCGGGTCGTTTCTCCGAAGGGTCATCCTGAAAAAGGGAAAGGAGAAGATGGAAAGGTACCAGGCGGCACATAGACACATTGTCGCGGAGCCATTCGAGCATCCGACCGTCAAGAGAGAATTGGCGTTCCTGACTGGTAGATTCCTCATCTGTCCAATGGACAAAGCTCCCAACATGCCCGCCTTCGTCTTCAAGAACTTTAAACGAAAAATGGCCTTCCAAAGACTATCGGGCCTTGAGTTTGCCAGCATTCCGGCACCGCCTGCAGTCGTCATATCGCGCATCCGCGGCGAGCTCCTTGCCTTTCCGGCACTTCCTGCTGCTGTGGTCTCGTATCCCTATCTCATGGCAGTACTCAAGGTGCAAAAGGGCACTTTCCGATGGATCACGAACACGGCGAATACTGTCATCTTTCCTGCGGCGGATATATGCGCCTGCATATTGCGTTTCCTTCTCCCACTTGTGCAAACCTTCTGTCAGAACAGGAGCCTGGAAGTGGAGGAGCAGCATGGCGTCAAACCCAACCTCTGGTGGGCCATTTCAACGGTAGGGGAATTCTACACCAATCTACCAGAGAAGGTCTATTCCGTCTTCACAGCCGACATGACCAGATGTTTCGAAACAATCCCGACGGACAACTCGGAGGACAGTCTCACTGCCGCAGTCAAATTCAACGTGCAGTGCGCTATGCAGGTGATGAGGGAGAGGTGCTTTAACCACGCGGTCATGATCAGGTTCGGGGAAGGTGGCGATCTGCAACCAGCATGGGCGGATGTTGAACTGCCGGAGGAGATGGGCACATTACTATTCAGGGAAGGGGATATCTGCTGGCTCTCGGAATGGTGCATTGCCAACAGCATATTATACATGGGGGAGTACGTATGGAGGCAGGTAAGGGGCATCCCCATGGGATTGGTGTGCTCGCCGATCTGGTGCGACATTTACTTTTTTAAGTATGAATGTCAGGCGATGATGATACTAGTAGATACGGGGAATGCCCATCTAATTCCGTGTTTTGGGAGCACCTTCAGGTACGTAGACGACCTTGGCACAGTCAACAACGTCATCATCAGGAGCTTTCTGGATAGGAGGGAGGACTGGCAGCCGAATGATCCCTGCCGGATCAGTACATTGAGATCAGGGAGAATACAGAGGTGGATGAAGACGGGCTTGGCCGAGTGGCCAACTTCCTTAGCATGACCATCACGGTCACCTCACCGGTGGACGGTTCCTACTCCACCACCGGACATGATAGGCGCATTGGGTTGGGCTTTGCTCCCTGCAGGTTCATCAAGTTCAAATCCAACAGGAGCGCCAGGTAATCACTACAGATTATCATGGCACAGGTGGCGCAGATTCTCATGCTATGCTCAAATCCGGAGGACGCGGCGAATCAGATAACGGGCATAGTGACAACGATGAGAAGCAATGGCTTCGCTGCGGACGCATGATGGGCGGTGGTCAAGAAGACCCTTCGGAATGCTTATCTCTATCAGCCTGGTAGACTGTCTGTTCATGTGATCAGGGAGGTCCTTGCCAATTTGCACGGAATTACAGACTAGGTGGCGTGGTCGTGTCTGTGTATGTGTTCGTGTGTGTGTGGTGTCCGAGGGACGACTAGGCCTAAAAGGCCGATTGTCCTTCGGACAACCGATCCCTTCGGTCGCGGTCATCCCTTGGAGGGAACGGGGTGGGACACACACACACACACACACACACACACACACACACACACACACACACACACATGACGATTGAGCGATGGCGGGACACGTTAACGGCTGGAGCTAGCACGGCGGGCCTCGTAAGAAGGAGATTTTTTTTTTTTTTTTTTTTTTTTTCAATTCCCCCCGTTTTTTTATCCTCCCCCAGTCTTTCCTTCCTTTCCGATCTTTTTTTGTTTTTTCTTTTCTTTTCTTTTCTTTTCTTTTCTTTTGTTTTCTTTAATCATGTTATCCTACAAGCAGCAGTGAGGGATCTCCAACTTGAACCACGCAATGCTCAAGCAGGCGAGTAGTTTAGTCTTGCATCCCACATGTCTGCCTACATTGTATACGAACCTGGCCATTACATGGTCATTGTATATGCCTTTGACTACCTGGAGCTGTGGGACCACAACATCATGGTTCATGCCATCTCTTATGTTACTGACTTTGTACACAATGATGTTGTTTTCTTGCCACACCATCTGCATGCTCTTGTGTCGAACAACATTGCTCTGGCCCAGTGCTGCAGCAGGATAATGTACGAAGACCCTGTGACCTTCCCCTTGGCACAACTACAATCACTGTTACACTCGACTGTAGCTGTCATCCTATTTATCACAATCACTCCAATGATATGGTTTTCACATTCATGGGTGTAGAGGATTGTCCCTCTGTTATTAATTGCAGGCACCTTCCATATCCAGAGACATATGTTCATTTTCTGGCCATGGGGGTTCTACTAAATGCATGATCTTTTGTGGTGCCCGTTGTGACAATTGTTGTACTGAGCTTAGCTAGGTCTTCCATGCGTTCATCCACCTCATCCTTATGATGTATGTCCTCTCTGTGGTCCAAGAAAAACTGATTTTTTTGTCTTTTTTTATCCTTCCCTTTACTCTCATCTTCATTCTACACTCCTTTTCTTCGTTACTTTTCCTTTCTATTATTTTATTTTTTCTTCTCTCCATCTCTACTTTGTGTTGATCCCCTTCCCCTTTGCCTCTTTCTCACATCCTACCAGTGGGCCATTATGGAACATAGGGATGACGACAACTTGCACTCAACGTTATCAATGTGTCGAACTGTGAATGAGTGGGCCGTTATGCCATACAGGGATGGACTTCTGAAACGCTTAGTACACCAGTAGAGCAATGTAGTAACTGGCCACAGATGTATCGGAGGCTCGGAGGCATGAGCAAATATCAAGTGCAATAAGTTGGCCAGTGAGGAACGGCATGGAACTTCATGGGGGATGGATTGGCAGGAGAATGCCAACTGTCAGGACTTCTCTCCAACCCTATGGAGCTGCTCCGTGATAAAACATCGCAGACAAGGCCAGAACCTCCCTCCAACCCCGTGGATGGCGTGGAGCTGCTCCATGATGAAGTTGCTCCATGATGGAGCATCGCTTCTCTGCATCTGTCGTAGCCAGCCCATTTACACTGAGAGAGTGAATGTCTAAATTTGTATTTTTGGTCACTTGGAACCCAACTAGATTTTTCCCATAGAATGCCCGCACTGCCTCCATGATAGTTGAAGAGCCAAGTAATGAGGGAAGGCAATCTGGTAGGTTCTAGAGGAGGAACAAACAAGTAGTATTATTTTTAAAAGGGTTCAAAAGCATTAAATTATCGTAAATGGCGGAAAGGAACAGAGATTGGTGTCGAGGGTAACACTTAATCAATAGTTTCTATTGATTTTGGTTGGTCCATGGTTAGGCTCGTCCTCCTTGTGTAAGTTATCGTCCCATGTTTTTTTTATGTTGATTTGAAAGATGTGTAGTGTTGTGTTGGTCTTCCAGCACTGGTCCAAACCTGGTCCTTAAGGTTAGGGCCATAGGTCTAGGTTGGTGGATGTTTTGTCCTTGTAGTATCCGACCCTCGTTTTTCAGTTTTTAAGTTGATCTTTGGTGTTATAACTGAATCTTTGGAATAATGGTTGGTGTTTGAGTGTTTGGGCTTGGTCCTTGGAATAGTGGTTTGTCCCGAGTGTCTTAGGCCAAATTGTTGTTGTTTTGGCTATGCCCTTGACTTTGCACGACGATCCTTGTTGCCACATGCTCGATTTTTGGTTCTTAGGTTGGTCCCTTAAAATTTGAGGCAAGATGTAAGATGATTGTTTGTTGTCACTTACACGGGGCATTTGATGATGATATGTTTTAGGCGCAGACACGTGCACATTTTTTGTCGTTTCTCTTGCGTGACAAGATGATGAGATAAGAGGTCTTTTGCGACCCGCTCGTCACCCTTGAAGCATATGTTTTCAAATTGTGTGGCTTTTGTCCATGAAAAAAAAATCTTCTCTCCTCAAATTAATTTCTCTTTTTATAAAATTTCATGTATATATATGTCATATTTATAATACTATATAGGGTAAAAAAATGTGATGATAAATACATTATGACCAAGAAGCTTAGCTCAATTGGTACACGCATAAACTGTTGAAATCCAAATGTGAGGCTCAATCCTGATGGAACCAAATGAATGAAATTCCTGAATTAACTAGGGTCGGTCAGTTTCACGATGATATCTCAAGGTTGTCGCCCTTTTTTGTTTAAAAAAAAATATATTAGGTGGTTAACTAGATTTCTGATTAATTACCTGACGAACTTATTAAGCTGGTTTATTTTGTGATTGAGGTTTCAAAATCAAAATGTTTCCCTCTTTCTGATTATTCATGAATCTGCCTTGCGATTATTGTTTATTTTCGTTCATGCGACAATTTTTATTCCTCGTAAACTTTCCTCTGCTGAAATTTCGAATTCTTATTTTGAAGTGGTAGTTCCACAAGTTCGATTCTTTCAGTTTTTTAGCTTAGTTGCAGATGAGGTTTGATTTTTCATATTCCTACTTTGATGCGGGGATTAGGGAATTAGATCTCGTTCTCATATTGTTCTCAGTCGAAGTAAGGCTTAGCCGGGTAATGGCCTTGGTATCTCAAATGATCCCAAATGTTCTCAATGATCCGTATCATTCGACTTGGGACGTTGGGCTCGGTTCCCAACACTTGTTGCTCCCCACGAATAAATTTGAGCATTTGTTTAAAAAAAAAAAAAATGAGAATAAGGGATACTTGAAAACTTTAAACAGGACTTGATTGTTTGTGAAAAATCTTCTTCCTTTTCGTGTTTTTTTTATTCAATTTAGTTCCGTCATATCTTGGCGATCGACTGGATCCCATGGAGGGTTCCCATTTGTGTATCATGTGTCTTCTTCTTCTTTCTCCGTTCTCATATCTGATCTTCTTCTTCTTGCTGAGGGTATTGAGGAGTTGCCACCTCAACACATTGAGCACAGTGACATGTCAGCAGGCAATTTTGGCAGACACATCTGCAGAACATGTTAGTACATGTCAGCAGGGAGAGGTCAGCAGTCCACGTTATTGTGACACTTCAGTAGGGGCTCAGTGAGGCATCAGCAAGGGGGTCTGTGTCATGTTAACCGGAGTTTGGCACCACGTCAGCACCTGCCACCGGTTCCTGCAGCGAATGCCAACAATCTTATGATCGTTGATGCAAGCCATGGAATGGAAAGAGGGGGAAACTGAGGCCGCCTATGAGGCCCGTATGGTCGACCTGCTAGCTGAAACGAAGAAGCGGACTGAAGCAATCATTGCTGCATGCAAGGAGGCAAGGCAGGCACACACACACACACACACACACACACACACACACACACACACACACACACACACACACAGAGTCATACTGATACTACACGGGCCCCAGTTAGGGCCTGGTTCTGTAGTAGGCACGGGTTAGGCCTAGGTACTGGGTCACGACGGTCCCAGCTAGGTCCAGGTAGGCCTAGGAACCGTTGATTCAGTCTAGAGTCTGGTAGGCCTCGTTTAGACCCCACCAGACCCAACGGCTAGTTAGGCCAGATACTGGACCATTGGTAGGACCGGCCGGCGGCGCAGTTTAGGCGCCACTTTTTCGATTTGAAATCGGATCTGAACCGTTGGGCCTGATCAACGGTCCAAACCCGAAGGCACTCAGTAGGACTGAGGCCGACCCAACACTATATCAGCTGGGTACCAGCCTCAGTCAGTAGGTTAGTGGACAGAAGGTTAGTCTACAGGATTAGCGCAACACTTGAGTGTTGGCATGAGCAGAGCAGCGGAGAGAATCAGCGCAGCAGCGAGGAGGAATAGCGCAGCGGCGAATTAGCACAGCAGCGGAGTAGCGCCAGCCACCGGCCCAGCCCGCGGCCCAGCACCTGCCCTGCAGTGCCATAGCTGCCGCGTCAGGTACCAGGGAGAAAGGCCTTGCCTTTCCTCCCTCTTCTTCCTCCTCCACTCTCTTTCTCTCTCTCCTCCTACCCTCTAAGTCTAAGTCTACTCCCGGGTTTCTCCTACTGGACTACTATGAGTACGAAGGATGGTTACGAGTTCTGATGACAGCTGAGATAGTAACATTGAGACTTCGGTTGAGGACTATCTTCTCTGTATTGTTCCAATTTGAACGAGATTGACGTCAGATACAACCAGGACCATCTAGAATTCCTGTCAGATACGTAATGAAAAGTCCTAGCGTGTGTGTCCTCTTAGTATAGGTGTTGCAAACTCAACTGCATAGTTTGGGTCCATCATACATGTTGTCACCATCTGATTGCATAAATCTTGAGTGACGCTTTCATATTGGATGTCAAGAATACTGGCATGAGCGGATCAACAACTAGGGAATTCACCTGGAGCAGTGTGGTTCTTCCTGTGACCCAAGTCAGTGTTAAATCTCATGTACTTGGCCCATACATTGGGCATGGGCCGTTATTGTTAATAGCCTGAAATTTGTGGACGCTCAGGGTACCGAGCCTCAAAGGCTGGCGCCGCCAGCCAAAACAACTTTTCATTGTTGC